TGCCACTGTTCCCCTGCAGACATGATATTTTAATGGTTGGATCATACACACATCTAACCACCATGTGATGTCTATGGGTAGCTTTAAATTAACTTTCTGCTTTACCCAAACAGGGCAAATCAACAATTTACTTACCTGCTGCCCCTTATTCCCCAACTGCACATACATTTCCTTTGCTCCCCTACTACTCCATTTGGCCACTGAGAGCAAAGCGAAACTTCCAGTATTTCAAGGTTTAGGGAGAATTTGACTTTCTCGAATTTCTCCCAAGTGACAGCATTTGTGTTTTTGTGATTGCCTGCTCAGCCGCCCTGCTCTTTCTGTTATACACCCCTATACCCCCAACGCTAGGTTTTTACAACTGCAGCACGTGTGTCACCTGTTGTTAGCTTCTCTGTGTTTCAGTGGTTATTCAGTATTTTAAGACTGATGAGAATGTTATGAAGTGCAGTAACCTTTTCACCTAACCATGGCCCACAGTGCACTCCTGCCCCCTGTGCTGACCATGCAGACTTTCTTTAATCTGAGAAAAGCCATGACAATCAAAGGGACAGGGCAGGGAGTTTCACTGGTCATAAAACAGAATGAATAGCCTGTCTTTCCAAAAGCTAACCTTAAATCTTCTTTGCAATTTAAATTTTAGAGCCAGTAGTTAAGTGCATATGTTAGTTTTCTGCTTTCTGCCTGACGCTTAAAAGCAAATTGGGGTCTTTTGTCATTTTGGACAGATACCGTTTTAAGTAAAGCAGTCTGTGCTGAAGAGTATTTATCATTGATGAAAAGTCCAGCAGGGCAAAAAACATGATAAAGGATTTGATTATCTAAATGAACAGCTATCAGTACAATGTGGAAGAGTTTTAAAACAGCAGGATATAGCAAAACAGGTCGTTATAATACAGGCTTATGCTGCCATAATGTTTTGTTGCTATGTAAGAAAAAAATTCTGATTTTTAGAAGTGACACAATCAGTGGCAAGCAATGTGACCCCTGCAGAAAAGAATAGTGCTACAATGTAATGTGACTAGCTAGTTATGACAACTTACAGTAAAGAAAAATTATCCCCCAAAGGGCATATTCTGGGTTCCACACTCCTTGGGAATATATATGAAAATTTTGAATTTCTGAGGTCTGGATCACTTCGGTTTCCCTGCTCTTGGGGATCCCCATTTCTTTCACCTGCAAATTTATGACAACCTACCTGACCACCTCCTGCTTGATGTAGAAGCCATGATATTAAAGCTGACCTCCCGTCAGCTATAAAAGATTAATGTGGCTATGTATTCACTAATAAATCATTCAATATATTTTTAATGCAATCAGTGAATTTTACTAGATAGCACCCTCTTGCAATCCAATAAAAAATGTGTCTGCACACTTACCAGCTAGTTAGCAAAAAAAACAAATTCTTTACTGTTTCAACAAATTATTTAATTGCATACTTAGGCAAAAGTATGCGGAAGCCACACTGCCTCTTTCAAGCTTTGTCAAAGCCATTATGCAGCAGCATTCAGACTGGGAGAAGGAGTAGCCAATAAGGTGTGCTGCATGGGAGGAGAGAGCAAAGTGAGCACAGGGATGATGTCATTAGTCTACTGCTGTTCTTTCACTACCCCCACAGTAGGCTGGGGGTTGAATGAGGTTGTCGTCGTATTCCATAACTGCACATGGTGTCACTCACTTGGCTGTGCTGTATGAGGTGGCTGTGACAATCTCAGGACTGAATGAACAAAAAAACTAATAATTTGGCAGGTAAAACAGCTGCCTTGTATGCATTTCAACTGTGTATTTAGTGGTTTGCATAGAGTCCAGATTTAACAGGAGCCCCTACAGTTGTAGCGGGATATGAGGTATGGGGTATGAAAACAGGATAGCAAGTAAACTCTGATACAAGTGTATCAAACACAGAGACAAATAATGTGATGAAATAAAGTGGAACCACAACTAATTGTCTTGTTAGGTTTTTTTTAATCATTTTAAGATTTTTTTTTTTAAGCAGAGCATAGATTGGATCTTGTTTAGCAGAATCATTTATTTGCTCTCAGGGTTTTTTGCATGCTAATTCCTAAATATGTCTTATCACTTGCATCTTACATCTTGCTCATTTTAGCGAGTCTCAGTTTTTAGTGATACCACTGTGAATAAAGACCTGCATAATCGTAATGTGAGGCTGTTACAGGGGAAAACATTTCCACTGATGGCCAACTGTGCTAAAACTGATTTAAAAACAGATTATTGAAGGAAAATATTATTAGTGATTATGTAAAGTACATGGTACAACTACCCCTGTGGCGGAAAGGTCTTTCATAAAGAGGATAAACTGCAAGATGACTCTGCATCAAAGCTTTTATCACATTTTAAAGTGGACCTGACACCAACAAAAAGATGATATAGTGACAAATATTACTGAACCATGCTGTTACATTTGCATATGGAAATGATTTGAAGTCTTGATTTTGTTTAATGAGCAAAGTGTAATGTGCAAAGTACAGTAACCCATAGCAATAAATCAGTGATCATTTATTATTGTTCTGATACACAATGCTGATGAAAGGTGAAGCCTGATTGGTCACTATGGGGCTGGTCACTATGGGGCTGATCTATATATCTTCTGCCAAGCGTATAGCTGGGTAAATGCTCTTCACATGGCACTGCAGCCACTAGATGGCACTGAGGAGCATAGGAAATTCAATGATGATTAGCCCATTTAAGCTAATATACATCATTGCTCTTTGTGCTCCCTTATTAAAGTGACTCTGTCATTTAATTCAAAATGCCTGTACATACATGCAGCCTGCAGTCCTGCTATTTCACCTGAATCCTGGACCTTTTTCTCAGGTTTCCTTTAACATTCTATAATAAATGACATCCTAAAATTTTAGTTTCTAAAATCAAGAACAAAACTGTAATGTACTGCAGCTAGCCAGTCTTTAGATGCATTTGTTCTGGGTTTTTTTTCCAGGTTGTTTTCCTTTATTGCAATTTGATGACCCTAACAGTATTAAACGTTCTGTCCCAAAGTGACAATACTCACTGTACAGTATCAGTGGAGGAGCAGCATTGTCACCATAGGACAGGACGTTTGTTAGGACTACAGTGCAGCCCCCATTCTCCTAATCTTCATAGCATGTAGGGTAAGTGTTCTGTTGTTCACAAAGGTGAACAGGGCAGGTCAGGGATAATAACACTGTTTGCGACAACACTACCGATTGTAGAGGACAGCTCTGAATTTCTGGCAGAATTAACAGATATAATCAACCTAATTAGTTGCAAAATGTTCTTCCAGCTCTTCCTTGTTAGAACTACTTACTTTGCCAGCTCTTTTTTTTATCATGTCTCAACTTTTTTTGAGACGTGCTGTTGCCATCAATTTCAAAATTACCTTATTTTTTTCTTAAAATGGTAAATTTTCTCAGTTTAAACATTTGATATGTTTTCTATTTTCTATTGTGAATAAAATATTAGTTTATGAGATTTGCAAATCATTGCATTCTGTTTTTATGTAGATTTTACACAGCGTCCCAACTTTTTTGAAATTGGGGTTGTACAATGCAAATCGAGACAAGATGCTAAGGAGGGCCCTCCCTGTGAGAGCTTACAATCTAAAAGGGAGGGGCAAGTTAAAAATAAAAAAAATGCACCCTTTAGGTCTGGCAGGGATTTTAAGGGGGGACCCCACCTCCCAAAAATGTGGAAAAACGTGGGGTCCCCCCTCAAATTCCTGCCAGACCCTTGACCCGAGGAGGCCCGGGAGGGCAGAAAAGAAGGGGGTGACGATCAAGCGCTCCTTTCCTCTTTGCGTCATACCAGATCACGTGCCCTCGGCATTGGGAGGGTGTCCCCATGCCGATGGGGACAAGGACTTCTTCCCCACAACCTTGACCCGGTGCCTGTGGGTGTCTGTGGACAGGGGGGGTTATTTGCATTGGGGTACCCCTTTAATTAAGGAGGAACCAAGATGCTGCTGCACCCCCCTTTTGAATGTGTACTGTAAAAAAAGTCATTTTTTTTTTCTTTTGTTTAATGTCACTTCGCTCCAACAGAAATTAGTTTGTAGTGAAAAATTTGTACATACTACCGCTAATGAAAATTCGGATTTTGTCTGTATCCCGAAACAAATTAATTTTTCGGACCTAATCCCGAAAAACAGAATAATGAAAAATCTGAATGAAAACTAAACTAGTTTTTTTGCCTACAAACTGCATGGCACAAAATAAAATTGTACCAGACAAAACAAAACATTCCATACAATTAATAGTTTCCAAACTTGTGAAATAAGAAATAGTGACACATTTTAATACCAAAGGCATAAAACTTGTTATGGATCTAAATGAAGATCAGTTGATTGACCTGAAAATGTATTTACTAGACATGTGCACTGCCAAAAAATGTGTTTAGTTTAGTTTCGTTTTAAATTCGGATTTGTGTTATTTCGTTTTTTCAGGATTCGGGTGTGAAAGTCAATTCGGATTCGGAATTCTGATTCGGACGAAATTCGGTAGCGTTAGTACGAACGTTCGTTTCGTTTTCTGTTCTTATTCGTTTCTTATTCGTTTCGTTCGTTCGTTTGCAGCAAAAGTGACATTTGAGAGGGAAAAAATATTTTTCTCCTTCTCTAATGTCACTTTGCTCCAACGAACGAAACGAATAAGAACAGAAAACGAAACGAACGTTCGTACTAACGCTACCGAATTTCGGAAATGGAAATTCGGATTCGTTATGTCTGTAATTCGCAATTCGTATACATCCGAATGCCCGAATTTCCGAAAATTCGTCCGAATTTCGATTCGGAACGAAACGAATCGCACATGTCTAGTATTTACCTGTGTCTACCTTTTTGTTGTTAATGCTTGAACAAGTACATGCTTTTGTTACAGTTTATGTATATATTTTGTCCTTTTCCATATCATTGCCATTAATGCAACACCAAATATTAAGTCACAGTTTATGGTGATCCTTTTAACAATTCTGTATCATAAGCAGTTTTGTTTCTCCTTTTCTAGAGCATAATGAGTGTGCAACAAACCAGCATAATTGTGATGAGAATGCTTTGTGCTTTAACACCGTGGGCGGGCATAACTGTGTTTGTCAGCCTGGATACACAGGAAACGGCACCATATGCAAAGGTAAGATTATAAAAATAACATAAAAGGAACCCTATTGTTCTCCATTGTCCAGAAAGTACCAACACAATAGGCAGTGCTTTCTTTAAAATAATACACATTGGTCATTGTAAGAATGAAAGTGTGCAGTGTAAGTGAACATTAAATGGCCACAAAGCGTGGGCTGTATGAATGGCATAGAGAAAGCACTCACATTTAGCAGGCATGTCAGACTGGTGTATTGAGCTCTGTGTTCTGTAATATCTTCTAGATGAATACTGCCAGTACACCCACCCTTCAAACTGTTCTCTACCATCTGTTTTTGAATTTTTAATATTTTAACAGTAAGAAAAACAGCTCATGTTTATAACAGTTCTCGGATCTGGCTTTTTTTGAGCTAAATTAAAGCTCAGATGCTCTCATTTGTGTTTTGTGTTTTTGTTTTACTCCAGCATTTTGCAAAGATGGCTGTAGGAATGGAGGCACTTGCATTGCTCCTAATATGTGTGCTTGTCCACAAGGTTTTACTGGACCTAGCTGTGAGACAGGTAAGTAATGTCTCCCTTACATTGACAAAAAATGGGCCTTTGATTGTAGTGATAATTTACATTGGTTTTATAAAAGTTTAACTCCACAAGCACTGTAAAAGTTTATGGGGGGGGGGGGTAAAGAAATCCCCCTCCACCCATCACCTGGTTTAGAATAACCTCACACCGCCCATTCCTACGGAAATGGGGAGTGGAAATTGAAATTCTGTGGTCCGGTTAAAAGTAGCAAATCCTTGTGCTGGGTGACGTCATGCGCCAGGGGATTCACTTATACTGGCAGCTGTAGCCACTATGAATACAAACAATTGCTAGCAAGGGTACAGTGCGGCTCCAGATACCAGCAAGTGAAAGGTGACATCTACATCAAGAGTGGAGGGACATTTTAAAAGCTAATGGGATTCTTATGGCATGAGGTCATAGCCAATAGTGTATAGTGTGAGAGAGCAGAGTGAGGCTCTCCACCAGTTGGACCTGATAGAGCGCTGGGGGGCTCAAGCACAACAGCTCAATTGTGGTCAGCGAGACGGAAAAGAAAAGCTGGTTGGGGGTAGCACAGGCTGGTGCAGGGGCCCTTTCAGGTAGGCTGAATTGGGGCCCTATGTTTTCTAATGGTGGCCTTAAAAATGTGCATAAGTGTCTCCAAGAGTAAGAAAAGTGTATAGTGTGACAGAGCAGAGTGAGGCTCTCCACCAGTCAGACCAGCAAGAGCTCTGGAGTGTTCCAGCTCTGCAGCAGGAGGCCATCAGTGGACACA